GCACCCTGCACTTGTCCGTGTTAAAACGCATCCTGTTCCGCGATCTTATTCCATTGCTGGATCCATTTTTCCTTGATGTCAAAGTTTCATCATTCAGCTGTTTTCCCGCACTCCAAAATGGCCTTCTCGCCTTAATTGGCATAGGCGGATCATTAAATTCCTCAAAAAAAGGTAGCAAATTGAATGTAAGCAGTTTTTTGTGGACTCTCAAAGTAGCCTGTTTACGTCCAAGATCAGGAGGAGGGATGTGAGAGAGAACAGACAACAAGGGAACAGAAGTGGATCTGCTAATACCTGTTATGAGATGAGGGAGCACAAAGAAACTCAGGTGATCAGCATGGCAGGCAGATGCTGTGGCATTTCTTGCTGGTTAGGGAGGCCTGGCTCTCATGTCCTGGCCAAATCTACTGCTAGCTCTGCTCTTACGGGCCCCAAGTCCTTGCTGAAGTTGCAACTAGATATGGTATGGTTTGTTTCTTGTCCTGGTCTCTAAGGCAGTATGACTCTGTATGATCAAACAGCTGTCACCCTCTACCTCTAGGGCGACTGTATTTCTTCTAGGGTAAATGATTGCTCTGTATATGCAGAATGCATTTGGTGGCTTTTGGTTTCAGGGTGAAAGCTCCTATATAAATATGAACTGTTCTTCCCCACCCCTGATGTCTGCTAAGTCTGAAGTGACCCTGGCTTTGCCTGTTGCTCATCCCTCCATGGTTCAGGTTTTTATTATAAGTCACTGTCCAGCAAGGGCTGAGGGGATATTTTGGTTATGCAACAGTAAATGCTGCTGTTGTTAGTGTTGGGAATACCTGCTGTCTCAAGCATGTTGGAGGCAGGAGTGAGAGTTTAATATTAAACAAGTGGCACCTGTCTTGTCTTCCTTCAAGCAAGAGGTAAAGCACATGGAGGCTCCAAGACTGCAGGTTTCTACTGGCTTCACCTGGGACGAGGGACTAAATGCACTCAAGGTGCCGGCATTGAGTCAGCCAGAGGAGAGCTCGGACAGCGAGGAGGACGATGATCCACAGGCCACGGTGCGGTAACTTAGGTGGTGCCACTTGCATGGAAGCCCCTGGGCACAGCTGCTATGACTTACCATCTTGTCACTATCTACTGTGCTGACCCTTGCATCAAAAACTGGCTTAATATAGGGACTGCCTTCACCAACTAAAGGCTGCCTAGACTGTATTTAGTTTCTATTAACTGCGTAGATAAAGTCCAGAGTGAGGGGTACCTATTCACGGGGCTGGGTGAGTAGCAGACTTCCTGGTTTGCTAGCAACATTGAAAATCTGAGGTGGTGGGGGGGACACGCACATTAATTTAGGGCCAACCAAACCATATGAAAAAAATTGAAATGTTCAGCTGAACCATAAATGTTTTTAAATGCTTTGAATAGTTAAAGGAAATTTTGAAGCAAAACACTATTTTTGGACCATAACACTTCTTATTTAAAAAAAAAAAAAAAAAAAAAGTCAAAATGAATCATCTGGGGTTTTTTGTTGGTTTTTTTGTTTTTTGTTTTTTTGTGGGGAGGGCTCCTCAATATGCCCAGCCTTGGGCCCACTGTTGTCTGGCTGTCTTGCATGTCACACCATTCTAGCTCTACATAACCCTGAAGTAATGCTGCTACTGCCTGTTTTCAACCCCCTCTCCTTGCCTTTTCAGCTGAAGAAGCAAAACAAGAAGGAGAAAGAGCTGGAAAAACAGAGAGTGGAAAAGGAGCTCTGCAAAATAGAAACTGCCTTGATGGACCCCACTCGGCAGCCCCAGAGTGCGGATGACTTTGACCGCCTGGTGCTCAGCAACCCCAACAGCTCCATCCTGTGGCTGCAGTACATGGCTTTCCATCTCCAGGCCACCGAGATCGAGAAGGCCCGCGCTGTGGCTGAAAGGGCGCTCAAAACTATCTCCTTCAGGTAGAAAGCTTCTCCTCCTCCACATGCCTCCTAGAGGACAGCATCCTGATCTATGTGGGTCAGCGATTTCCTGAATATTCCCCATGGGCATTGCCTGCCTTCAGAAATGGAATGGAGTGGGGGTGCCAGCAATCTTCATAGTAGATCAGCTTTGCTGACCTGAAGTTGAATCTCTCTTTTGGCTTTGGCTGGCTGCAGCCCAGCAGCCATTGCCTGCTGTGATCCCATTAGATCTGAAAAGTAAGCAGTGCCTGATCTGGGATGAAGTACTGCCAGCATGAGACACCAGAAGGATCAAGCAGATGCTGCAGAGAGCCTCACTGGTAATTCTGGAGGCACTGGCTCTGTACTTGGCAGCACTGAGCAAATTCCCCAGCCTGGTACTAGACGGTGCCATGCTGCTGTAGAGAGACCTACAGCTCTCCTGGCTCTTTCTGTAAGAAGCATTTCCTTTGGTATTGTGATGCATGGCAACCTGAACATTTACTTTTTGTCTCCATAAAATTGCCCCTGCAATTCAGTTTGGCTACATAGTTTTCCCTTTCTGCCACTGTTGTATTACTCTTGCACCCTAAAGCCATTGCTGCCCTGTAGCCCTGGTGCCACCTGGTTTTCAGTGGTGCTCTGCTGTAGTCCCTTACTCAGCTTTTCAGGTGTGGTGAGGCTTGGCTCGTGTTGAAGTGGCTTGAATTCCTCTGCCAGGAGACTGAAACGGGTTTGTTCTCCTTCACTTTAAGGGAGGAACAGGAGAAACTGAATGTGTGGGGAGCTCTGCTGAACCTGGAGAACATGTATGGTACTGAGGAGACGCTGATGAAGGTCTTTGAGAGAGCTGTTCAGTACAACGAGCCCCTGAAGGTCTTCCAGCATTTGGCAGACATCTACACCAACTCTGAGAAGTACAAGGTAGGTGTGTGGGGCCACTGTTTGTCCAGCATGGTAGGAGTTAGGGTCATAGCTCCTCACTGACCAAGGCAGGAAACCACTCTTCAGTGCAGTCAGACCAGGCTCCTTGCCCAGCGTGAGTGATTGCAAACCAGAGCAAATGCTTTGGGCTAGGCTTGAGAGTCCTATTGGAAGAGGAGAGGGGGTGCTCATTTCTTATGTGGATCTTGTGGCCAGCATGACCTCCTGTCCATTTGTCTAAAATGTATCCTGGGTTGTGAGCTGGTAATTGCTGTTAGACCACGGGCACTGTTAGAGATGTTGCTGCCAAAGCTTTCTCTCACAAATCAGGTACTTGTACATTTTGCCTTGTTTGCAACATGTTTCAGTTATGGTAAAATTGCACCTGTATAATCACGTACATGTGTAAGGGTACATGAATTACACATGTACCTGCATGTCCAATAAACGTGTTGCTTGTTCTGCGTCAAGCACGAGGCCTTTGTTCTGCTTTCACATTTCTATGGGGTAACTTCTAGTCCTTCCAGGTCTTCTAAGTTTTTTGAGGAGTTTTTAGCAGTTAACTCTTTCTAGTCATCCTAACCAGGGTGCCACAGAGCTCCTGAGAGCACCCTGCTACTCTCTACCCTCTGTTGCATAATTGGATCTTCTGCCTGTTGCTAAGCTTTGATTTCTCCCGTGCAGGCAGGTACCAGGCATTCTTCCCAGACAGTTGCACCAATGCATTATAATCTTGACTTTGTGAGTCTTTCTGTGAGCCTGTCCCTAGCAGTGCTTAACAGGTCTCCTAATAAGGTCTCATTGGTCTGAGACACCAAAGGAAATGACACCTCACCTCAGCTGCTATGCTGGTGAAAAGTCCAGAAAGTTAGCTACCTGCGCTGTGCTTACTGTTTTGTCTGCAGTCGGGAGCAGGAGTGGCTTTAGGATACTGCACACTGTACAGTCGCACAGGACCTCAGTGTGGCCAGTGGCCCCAAGGGCATTACGGTCATGTGCTCAGCACATTGTCTAGTAAAGAGTAAGGGCCTGAAATGTCCTTTGCGCAAGGCCTTCAAAAGCTAACAAACCCACCCTGCCCCTGCTGCTAGTCAGGAGCTTTGGGTGGAATCCGATCTGGGTTCTGGCCTTCATTTTGGTCTTACATTGCTGTGTGAACTCTGGGAGGTTGCTTGACTGCTCTGAGCTCCACTTTTTATTTCAAAAAGGCTAGAGCAAATAATATTCTTCTGTCTAAACTCCTTAGAAGTACAAGGGCCAGAAACTCCATGAGAGAGCATGGCTGGGTGGTCTACCTGTGTGACTAACCTCTCATTCACTCCTTTGTATCTCCCCAGCAAGCAGAAGACCTGTACCACACGATGCTGAAGCGCTTCCGTCAGGAGAAATCTGTGTGGCTGAAGCATGCCACCTTCCTCCTGAAACAAGGCCAGACCGAGGCCACACACAAGCTCCTGGAACATGCCCTCAGGGGGCTGCCAGTCAAAGAACGTGAGGACTCTCCCTCTCCCTTCAAACACCTGCACGCTTCTTCCACTGCATTGTCTTTCTTCTCTTCCCTCATGCACACTGCTTGTGTTTCTTGGGAGGCTTGGCTGATTCTCATTGTCTTCTGATGCTAGCAGGTGTCTCTTCTCTTTACAGATGTGGATGTGATTTCCAAGTTTGCTCAACTCGAGTTCCAGTTTGGGGACCCAGACCACGCCAAGGCTCTTTTTGAGAGCACACTCAGCAGCTATCCCAAACGCACTGACATCTGGTCCATCTACATAGACATGTTGATCAAACATGGCAGCCAGAAGGAAGTACGGTGAGTGCCGGCAAGGGAAGGGAAGCAGAGATGTACAAGAGCATGGGTGCTCTGCAGCTGTAGGCAGTAAGGGAGGGATATTCCAAAACAGTGGAGAATCCATGTTACATGAGAAACGGGGTTGGGTTGATTCTCATTGGAAAGGGGCATCTCCATGTATATCTGCAGGGCAGAGGGGTCTCCCTGATTGTTTTCCAACTCTATGATTCTGTGATCTTTCCCAGTCTTGATCATTTAGTCCAGGATGGTTCCTGCCTAAACCATTCTGGATAAATGTGCATCTAAGCTGCTCTTGAAAACTTTCACTAATGGAGATCAGAGCACCTCCACAGGCCCATGGAGCCATGGTATTCAGCCCCTGGGGATCTTCACAGATTGGGAGATTTGGCAGTGCAAGCAATGGAAGCACCACATGGTCAGATCCTGCCTTGCCCAGGCCATTGCCCCACAGCAGGATCAGGGCCAAGCCTGTCCTCCTGCACGTCCAAATTAGGTGCAGGCTGCTTCCTGACCACCCCACACACGCGACCAAATTAGGGCTAGACTTCACCTCTCCCCACCCCCAACAGTGATATTGAGTCCCCACCACATACACCCTGCACGCCAGATCAAGTTGTCCATCCAGCCCACAGGGTGAAAAGGTTGGACACCACTGGTCTAGGCAATCTGTCCTAGCGCTTAACTCATCAGAGTTAGGAAGTTCATCCTAATATCCATCCTAAATCTTCCTCGTTGCAGCGTAAGCCCACGAATATCACAACAGTGTGTTCTAAAGAAAAACAGAGGGCATTTTGGAAATCCGTGGGTGGAAACATTTCAAGCTCTTTGTCCTGTGTAGATCACCATAGCTAGTAACTTACTGAGGAGGTTTTCCTAAGCTGACTTGGGGAGCAAGAGACTACAACTCCGTATTGCGCACTGACGCTTCAGAGACTAGTGTAGCAGCTTGTTATTAAATGAATACTCTTCATTGCACTCTGCTGTTCTTACTGCTGGGCAAGCCTGCTCTCCTGGGAGTAACGTGTATCCCCCACCTTCTGCACTGAGTGGTTCAGTGCTTCTTTGTGTTCAAAGTAATAGCGTAAAACAAAGGGATGGATCACTTTTTGCTCTCCCATTATATGGAGAGGTTCCATTCACTAGCTTTCAGTGTAAAGGCAGCAAAAGGAAATCCTCCTTCCCACAACATGTAGTTGATCTGTGCCATTCACCGAGCTCAGGGTGAAGTACTGTGAACTGGATTCTAGAGGAACAGCTACAATCGTCTCTAAGCAGAGGAAAGGGTTCCCCGGCTTTCTATTCCAAAGCATTGCTGACTTGAAGGGATTTCCTTCGCCAGGTACCAGCATTCTGCAGCAGGTTGGGTGCATGTCCTGGTTTTCTTCGTCTTCCTCTGTAGTCTCCACTGTTCAGAGGCAAGACTTCAGATTTGGGAGCCCAGGGCTGTGATTTCATGTTCTGAACAGGCTTTTGCTTCCTTGCAGGGATGTTTTTGAGCGGGTCATTCACCTAAGCCTGGCACCAAAGAGGATGAAGTTTTTCTTTAAACGCTACCTGGATTATGAGAAGAAATATGGCACAGCGGACACTATCCAGGCTGTGAAAGCCGCAGCGCTGGGGTATGTGGAGTCCAAGAGCTCCCTTGTTGAGAGTTAAGTCCCAAAACAGAGGGACTTGATTACTGCTACCAGTGGCTGTGTGAGCAGAAGGGATGCACAGAAATGGACTGCAGGTGTCCACAAACAGGGCTTCTTGTGAGAGCACCAGCAGCCAGCTGGACTGTCTGGGACCCCCCGAAGGCAGAAAGAACCTGCTGGCTGAAGAGAGGACGTTGTTCGTGTTCATAACTTGCCCAGCAGTACAACTGACTTCCCATGTGCCGCTGACTTTGGATGTAGTTATTTAAATGCAGATTGTTTTATAAGCAATAGAAACACAGCTACCCCTGCCTGTTCTGCTTTCCTATGGAAAACGTACATTTGTTGACTTTACATTTTTCAATACAGTTGATAAGTCAGTCTCCCTTCAGAATTTTCTTTTCCCTCCATCCTTTTTTCAACACTGCCAAGAAGGTTCTCATGTTTCATCTACATTAGTATTGTCAGAGATTGGTCTCTGGTGCCTTTTTGTTGCTGCCACTCTTCTTGATTTTAGGCTTTTTTTTAAAGCCTACAAGTATCTAATTGAACTTGCTGAAAATGTAAAATTGCAAATGATCCTGCTGAAGGACGGAACATTTCAGGAAATGGGATAGAGGTCTCTAAGCTGAGAAAAGAAGCTAAGTTTTAGATGCTGGAAAATAATTGGTTCTGCTTTAATATTTTCCATTTCAGACTGTTTCCCTAGGTACCAACAGGTCTATCCCTATATGTGCCCCAAACTATCCCGTCTTAGCCGAGCACATCGGCAGCCATCTCACGGCCTAAGCCCAGTGGGAATCCAAAAATAAACCGTTCTCCATCTCTTTCCCCTGGGAGGCTTGCTCCAGCAGGTATTCTTAGCTGACAAATTGGGCTGCTCACAGATTCCAGTGGTGTTGCCACTTCCTTGCCAAATGTGGCTGGAGGAGGGAAGTGCACTACATGAAGATTTCTTGGAGCAGGGACCAGAACTCAGTTATGCCCTTCTGAGTGTTTTTCCAAATCACCTAGAAGCAAAATCTCCATGTCCATTAATCTTTCATCCTGTCTCTTCATCCATTTAATTTATATAAGAATGTCGTTACCTCTCTAGTGTTTAAAGGTTTCTACCTAGTTGTCCTCCTACATCAGACTGAAGGCCCAACTGTCACAGCCTTCATGTAGCTGCTCCCACTTGTTGGAGAATAGCTTGTCTCAGGTTCTCTGACTGTGTAGGTAGAGTCTGATGGTCAGTCCTTGCATATATGACTTCATACATGCAAACTCGCACACCGAGAATCAGAGGATGTTTGCTAAGTACTAGTCCCAGGTTGGGAACTTCTTTTTATGGACTAGTTCAGTGGCCTTTCAGCCAGCAGGGATCAATATGATGAGTTTGGGGCCCTCCAGAATTTTATAAAGGAAGACCACAAAACTTTTGTGACTAACTTTTTGTTAAAAATAAATAAATACATAAATGAGATTTGGAGTTTCCAATTAGTTTTAAACCTGGTAGGATTAATTTGTGGGCTCTCAAGCAAATCTCTTGTTTGCTCCTTTCAGACCTAGAAGCAGAGGAAATGCCTGTCATATCTTTTTTATTTACTTTTCCTTACCAGGTTTAAGGAGAGTGTCTAAATAACAACCTCAGTTTGAATCAATTCTTGGCTCTCTTCTCCACTGCAAAACTCACAATGAATTCCTTGTTGTTCCCTACATCCTACACTTTGAATCTTTTGCAGTGCTCCCGCTCTTACTGCCTGTTGTTTGAATGCCTGACTCATCTGGTGGGCGTGAATTGCAGCCCATCATTATCCTCAATCTGATCTCCTTTTCATGGTTTTAAGTTCTTGAGATGTGGACCCTGTAGAAGAGCCGCATACACTCTGTACCCTCAAGTGGAGGAGCTAGAAAATAAATGCGCTAGTGAAGGGGACATACAAGAAACTAGAACTCTTGGTTCCAAAAACCTAGTGGGCGGGGGGGGGAGGACACAGTGTCTCTCTTTGTTTTCCATCACCTCCAGTGAGGACAGCCACTTGCATGTATAAGCACTAGGTGCCTGTGAGATCTTTTTCTCTAGGAATAGAAGCAGGATTTGTGGGGCAAAGCAGTATCTTTTATTTGCCTGGCTTTTATTGGGAGACTTGGGAAATTAACTTTCAGGCTTCAGATGTACATCCAAGAGTAGATTAGACTGGAACTCCCCTGGTCTGCTCATGGCCAAGGCTTGGACTTCACATGCCAAATGCAACCCTTTGCTTTGGCCACTCTTTCTGTGTTTCATAACCTGGTTTTGTAGTGCACAAAAGCTCTGTCTGACTGCCTACCTGTAATTGCTGCTGTCTCTTCACTGCCTTTGTACGAGTGCCTGCTCATGTGTCTCTGTGGGACCAGAGTCAATCCGAGCTTTCCCAGCAGGACGGAAACTGTATTGTTAACAGTCAGGAGCTGATGCATGCTGGCCAAGGCCTCCTGTTCTCAGTCAGTGAGGGGTTAGTAGTGCTAGCACATTGCAAAGAAGACGGGCCAACGTTATAGGATGCAGCTGGCTCGGATGGCAGGTGATTTCTCATCCTTCCAGTATGTGTGGCTTACTCTGCCTGGCCCAGGGAAACTATTAAACCACTTGCCATTTCTGTGCCTCAGTTCCCCATCCCAGAAATGGAGACAACAGATTTTAAATACAGTGGAGGTACCATCATAAATGTAGCAGGAACAATAAATAGGTGCAGACTGAGTCTTGAGCTTTCTAGAATGAAAGTCTCAAGTTTTGTGGAGGGAAAGACTGACCCTGTTTTGTGGAGAAGCCATGCAGAACTTGCTCTGCAACTTTGGGTGATTCATTTAAGTCAGAGAGGGCTCAGGGCAGGCCTCCAATCAGCCTCCCAGGTCTCCGATTTAACCCCCAGACCTGTTTTACTTCGTAGGTGTGGTTTTGCCAAACACACTCCAATGCCGTCTCGTGAGGTGAGGCACAAGGGCTGGACGTGCAGGACCGTGTTTCCCTGCTTTTTCATCAAGTCGGGTTTTCAGCTTGGCCGAGGGCTGGATCATGTCCCTGTGAGAGGAATTAGACAGTCAATGAAGGACAAGCGGCTCCGCTCACAGGTCCCCCTATGTTACCTCGGGGCAGCCAGGCTGGGCGTGTGGCGGTGGCAGGGGATTTTAACATCCCTTTCTACTTCTACCCCTGGCTTTTTGTCTCTGGGTTGTAGCTAATAAGGAGAGCCAGGGCTGCTGCTTTTGCTGGCAAGAGGCTCCCGTTTCTGTTCAGGAAATGTGCGTGTGTCCACAGCCGGCACCTCCCAGCAGCTGGGAAGGCACCTGTCAAACGGGGCTGGAGCTCTGCTTTGGCCTTGCGTGGCAGCAGGTTGGGGCAGGTTTGTGCCCCCTGAGAGGAATCTGCTCCACGCTGTTTGGTTCCCTCCCTTTGACAAGAAGCCCAATGCATTCGCCTATGCTCTTGTTTCCTCGGGCTTTTACTCTGCTATGATTTATTCATTGCTTCTGCATATGTTACACAATGGGACCAGCCCGCTTTGGGTCCTTCCCCTGCTCATGCTGCTGCTCCCTTCCCGACAGCCGTTGGCTGCTTTCTTCCCTCGGCCACCTCAGGGTTTTCAGGGCTGCCCCTGGTGCCAGGGTCACATGTGGGCTCTTCAAGCAGCGTTGTCGGTTCTCCCAGGATTGAGGCACTGAGACTTTCCCACAAAGGCAACATTTAAGCTTCCAGCTCTCTTGTTCACAGAGTAGTTTGAAAATTGAACCTAAGTGCCCTCAAAAGGCCTAGAAACCGTGAGAGAAACCATTTCATTTTTTCTTTCAATTTAATGATATTTTTTCTATGAGTTTCAAGTGCCCAGCTTGCGACTTGTGAGCACTTCAGGTTGGCAGTATTGGGAAAGGCATGGTCAAAGCTTATAAAAATAAGACCACAAGTAAGTATAGGAAAAGGAGCACTATAAATAAGAAAAGCAATTGCCAGTATGCCACTGATCCTTAAAATAGAAACAATTATGCACATGTCATTCAACATGCAATTAAAAACTGTTTAACTGCAACGCTGGAAAAGCAAGTGGTCGACACAATGGCATGTCGAGAGGAGGAAATGTAAACTCCACCTGCATCTCGTTCAGTGATGCTTGGTTCATAAGGTTATAGTGAGGCTAGTCCAGGAGTCATTTAAGGCAATAGAAACAGTCTGAGAAGCACAATTAAAGAAGGGTGAAGTTCCTGCTCCCCACTGATATTAGCCAGTGCAAACTCTTCATTTCTACATACAGCAAATTTTGGCATGCAGTCTTCTTGCTGCCTGGTTTTCGGTCCCTGTCCAGTTGGAGAAAGCTGTTTAACTGGTACAGTTAACTGAAAGGAGTATTCTGTAACAGGTTATGGCAAGACCACAAGACTAAGCAGGGGTGGACCTGGCTAGTGCTAGGATAAGAAATTCAGTGTGTTGCAGGGGATGACTGTATGGTGGGTGCTCTTTCCTCCAAGCCTGGCGTGGTGCTGGAGGATGCTGTTCTGCTGCTAGTGCCTGCCAGGCCCACAAAACCAAAATTAAAACTGGCATGTTTAAAAAGTCCATGGCACTTCATAGTTTCATAGTTTCTAGGGTCGGAAGGGACCTTAGCAGATCATCTAGTCCCACCCCCTGCCATGGCAGGAAAGAGTACTGGGGTCAAACGACCCCAGCAAGGTGTTCATCTAGTCTCCTCTTAAAAACCCCCAGGGTAGGAGCCAGCACCACTTCTCTTGGAAGTTGGTTCCACATCCTAGCCGCCCTGACCGTGAAGTCACGCCTCCTGATGTCTAACCTAAACCTACCCTCTGCCAGCTTGTGACCGTTGTTCCTGGTCACTCCTGGCGGTGCTCGGGGGAACAGTGACTCCCCCAGTGCCTGCTGATCCCCCCT